TCTCCTGTCCTCAGGCAACTGACTGCTAAACTGCTTTCTGTTGCTACATGATTAGTCTGCATTTTCTAGAATCTTCTATAAACGGATTCAAACAGTATGGTTTTACTTGGGGGCGGTCCAACCTTCAGCATCATTATTTTGAGAGTCCTCCATGTCGTTGCAGGTGTCACTTGTTCATTTCTTTTTATGGCTCAGTAATATTCCATGGTATGATTGTATTGGAGTTGGTTCGACCGTTTAGGCCATGGAAGACATTTGGTTTGTTTCCAGTTTGGGGCTAACAAATAAAGCTGCTGTGAACAATCGTGTACAGGTCTTCGTATGGACATATATTTCCTAATGAGTAAATTCTTAGGAACAGAATGGCTGGATGACATTGTAGTTGTCTGTTTAACTTTTAAAAAAGCTCCCAAATTATTTTCCAAAGTGCTTGGACCATTTACGTTCGCAATAGCAGTGCATGAATGTTACTCATTCCTCTACATCTTGTTTTTTGTTGTTTTTCGTTCTCACCTGAAGATATGTTCATTGATTTTTGGGGGGGGGCGGGGGGAGAGGAACATCAGTGTGAGAGAGGAACACACATTGGGTGCCTCCCGCACGCACCCTGACCAGGGAATCCAACCTGCAACGTAGGTATGAACCCTGACTGGAGAGAGAACCCGCGACCTTTTGGTGTGTGGGATGACACTCCGACCGAGCAGCCCAGCCAGAGTTCATTCCTCTATGTTTTGACTAACAGGGCACAGTCAGTCTTCTTAATTCTTCTTCATCTCAGCTCTTTTATAGGTGCGCTCGTTGTGACTTTAGTTTGCATTTTTCTAATGACTAATGATGTTGAGTATCTTTTCATGTGCTTGTTTGCTATTCATATATCTTCTCTGTGAAGTGTCCATTCAAGTCTTCTTCTCACTTTTGTATTGGGTTTATTTCTTATAATTGAATTTTGAAAGTTCTTTATAGATCCCAGACACAAGCCCTTCCATCAGATATATAATTCGCACTTGTTTTCTCCCTGTCTGTGGCTTGGTCTTCACTTCTTAATAGTGCCCAAGGGAAGTTTTTTTACTTTGATAAAGTCCCAATTTACCAGTTTTTTTTTCTTTTTGAGTATTCTTTTGGAGTCATAGCTAAGAAATCTTTTCCTTATACAAGAACATGAAGATTTCCTCTTTTCTTGTACAGGTTTTACAGTTCATTTTTACACTTCTGGTTACCTCGGAGGGGTCACATGCACTTGGGGGGCCCAAGGCTTTCCCACCTCACTCCTCTGGGTCTAGCTTCTCTGCCCCCTCCCTGCTGGAGCCCCTCAATGCTGAGTGTGGGTTTCGTATTGCTGCCTCACCTTAAAGAATTCAGCCTGCGTGCCGGGCCACAACTCCTTGCACCTGAACTTCTATCAACCCTCCAAAGAGCCTTCCTGGGATGGGTAGGCGCCTCCTCTGGTCACGTGTGCTTCCCGGGGCTTGCTTCTGCCATGGGCGGGCCTGATCATAATGACTCAGGTCTGTCTTCTGCCCCCACTCTTCTGTCACTAGAAGCACGTCCATGCTTCCAACCGGCTCGTGCCCAGGACCCAGCTCAGGGCCTTGGTCCACAGGAGGGGCCTCAGGAAAGTCTGTGGATTGACTGTGTGAGAGAACACTCTCTCGCTCACTCTGCCCCTGGCCACATATGAGGCAACCTGGGCGTGAGAAACTTAACTCTCACATTTAAGATAAAATCCCAACTCGCCCCCTGGGCTATGGGGCCTGTTATGTGGCCCCGAGGACTTCCTGGACCTTGTTCTGGGCTACTTGCCTCCCTGAGTTCCCTGAGTGCACCATGCTGGTTCCTGCCTTGCCTGCCTGTGCAAGGGGCTGAGCCCTTGGCTCCTGTCTCTGTGATTCTCTTCTAATTCAGGTTGCAGGTTGAAAGCCGCATCCTTGGGAAGGTCCCCACTTCCCCCAACCGCCCAGGATACAGGGACCGCTTGGTCCATCACCGGTTGTGATGGTCTTAATGGTACATCCTCACCGTCTGACATTTTCTCACTTGTCTGTGATTGATAGAAGATCATCTTTAGGGGGACAGGGATTTTGTCTGCTGTCTGCCCTTACTGTTCTCATGTCTAGAAGTGTCTGGTGTTTATGAAGGCTCCATGTTGAGTGTTGAATATAGTAAATCAGGACAGAGCAGAAGGACCCAGATGTCCCGTGGCTGGGCCAGGCCTCTTCTCCTGCCTGGCCTTGCCCAGCTCTGCCACAGCTCAGCAGGGTCCTGATCAGGTCCTCGTGTCTAGGCAGGTCTCTGTCAGTACCCTGCGGTTCCGCTCAGGGCTCCCCTCTCTGGGGAAGGTGGCACGGCACAGAGTCCCCCAGGGTCCTCCCCAAATTTTGGGAGCCAGTGGGGCAGGAAGAGGTGATGGTCAGGGGACCAGGCCGATGGCCTGGCTGGACAGGTCCTAGCTGGGCAGGGGTCTAGCCCCACTTTCCCTCATACACATGGGACAGATGTTAAGAGGGGAGAGATGTGTTTGAGGTTACACAGAGTCCACAGCTGTGAGGACTGAGAACACACTTGTCTTGTTGGCAGTGAAATTCTCTAAATTAAAAACCAGCAGATCAGTGGGTTCCTATTGCCCAGGGGCTTGGAGACTTCCTGGCTGGTCCCAGCCTGTCCTTACGTCCTGCCCAGGTGGGACTTGGCACAACTGGCTCTGCCCGTGGAAAGGAGTGGGGAGGGTAAGAGTGTACCACTCTACTCCCTGGATTCTGAGGGAGCAGGGGGTGCAGTGGTGGGAACCAGGCCGTGGCACTCACTTGGCGTAAGGGTAGTCACTGGCTCAGGCAGACAGTGAGGAACAGAGCAAGACTCTCCTGCCCCCGCCACTCACCCCCACCTGCCCACCTGCCTCTCCTGGGAGAGACTCCCAGGAGGTTTCTGGACACACCTGGAGGGCCCATCCCATTCTGAGGCCAAAGGCTGGGTCCCGGGGGAGGAGGCGTGGCCACACACAGCACACTTTACAGGAGCTGTCCGCCTGGGGGGCAGGCAGCCTCCCACCTTGGCACAGGGCACAGTGACAGGCAGCTAGGCTCTGCGGCTCGGAGAGTGGAGTTTCCTTTTCCTGCTCTTGCTGCCGACAGAGTTGGGTTTCAGCCTGTCTGCCAATGTGAGGACACATCCTGGACTTGGCTGGCCTGTGGCATTTGAGGATGGACAATAACGGTCCTGATGACGAAAATGATACTTGTCATTTACCCTGGGCCAGCCACTGTGCTAAGCATTTCCCACTCATTATTTTATTTAGTTTCATGAGTAGGTACATTTTAGAGGTGAAAGAAATAAGGTGTAGTCGAAGTGGTTTGCTTGAGGCCACCCAGCTAGGAGGTGGCAGAGGTAGGGCTGGAACCTGAGTCTTCTAAACAAGGGAGCCAGGTCCAGAATCTTCCCTGACAGGGTCCCTGCGGAGGGGCTGTGGCCAAGCTTTTCTCCTCTCTGGCTAACTCCTCCTCTTCCCTTCCTGATCCTGCGGGCCCTGTGCACACTTGCCCTGTAACTGCTGTTCCGCCTGTGCTTCCAGGGCAGATAATCACTGATACTAGGTGCTTTATTTACATTAACATAAGTAGGAATGAGTGCAAGGGCCCTGGGGCCTGGACACAGGGATATAGGGACAGGCTGGGCCTCTCCCTGGCAGGACAGAGGAAGGGAATACCCCTGGAAGTCGCCTTACATCTGGCAGGCACCCTAGGCCAGATGCTGTGGGAGGAAGTGGCCAGTGGAGGCGCATGACACCAAGGACTTCTAGGACCCTAAGCAGAGGTTGTATGTTTGACTTGGGGTCCTAGGCCCAGGTCTCATGCTTGTGTGGGGGGGTGGTGGGCTATCAGTTTTGGCCTGTTTGGGGAGGGACCTGAGGAGACCCTTATCTTGCCCATGCCCAGAAGAGCTGCTTGTCTATTGCCCAGCCTAGTGGTCAGGCCCTCCCTGCCTGTCTTGTGTCACCCTTCCATAGCTGTTACCAGTTTTATGCATGAAAAACGCCATACACAGCCTTGACTAGTGTGGCTCAGTGGACTGAGTGCTGACCTGCCAGCCAAGGGGTCACGGGTTCAATTCCCAGTCATGGCATATGCCTGGGTTGCAGGCCAGGTCCCCTGTCGGGGGGGCACACAGGAGGCATCCACACATTGATGTTTCTCTCCCTCTTTCTCCCTCCTCACCCCCTCTCTCTAAAAATAAATATTTTTAAAAATCTAAAAAAGCAAAAACAAAACGCCATACGCAGACAGGTCAAAACCTCAGCTTCCCCACTTCCTAGCTTTGCGAACTTAGCAGGTGATCTAACTTGGAGCCCACTTCTCGGTGGCACTGCAGAGGTAGTACTGGCACCACCAAGTCTCTGTGAACCGATCCAGCAAGCATCTGGCTGCCTGCTTCCACCCAGGGGCCTTTTGGGCCCGATGTGAATCACTGCTGGGAAGGTACTGAATGGGGTTGTCTGTGTCTCCTCCCTTCTCCCAGCCTTATGGGCCTAGGACAGAGGGGGTGGCTGAACTCCTCTGGAATCAGGTAGGAGGCTGGCTCTTCCCCAGCCTCAGTATGAGGGGGGCTCTCTCGCCCCTGCCCACTCCTAAAAGTCTAATGGAGTCGGCAAATGCTGGTTCTAGAGCTTGCTGGAGGCCGTTCCTAAAGGACCCAGGGGCATCATCTTGTTCTCAAGGCTCCGCTTCCAGTCCAGGCTCCACCACCGCTGAGTGCGGGGAGCTGGGGCCCTGCACGCCCCCCTGGACCCTGTCTCCCACACGGAGCAGGCCCCAGGGGAGTGGGCACCCTGAGGTGTCCTGTGTTGGCAGGACAGGTGGTCAGAAAGGAGCCCGTGACACCTGCGCTCACGCAGTGGTCAGGTGAGGATGAGCGATTGTTTCTTGAAACCAACAGGGGCCAAGTCACTCCCTCTCTCCATCCCAAATTGGAGGAGCCCAGAAACAAACCAGCCAGGAGCACGCAGAGGCTATTATATATCATGCTTTTAATACAAACTTAAAAAAATCTGGAACAATATAAACTGTACAGATTTGATCAATTGTTTTGTTTTTAAACTAAATCTCTAAACACACCAATGTCCCATTCCAAAATATTGCACAACGTTCTGAATACAAAATGCCTGATTGTATTCCTCCTTCACTAAAGAAAACACGTTCACTGCCCTGCTCCCCACACCCCTCTGCACATCACCTCGATGCCCCCTTCCCGCCCCTCGGGGTCCAGCTGGAGAATCTACAGCTCACTGCATTGAGAAAAAGACATCATTCTGGACTAAAAGTTTACATTCTTTACAAGACGATCCACCTCTTGATTTGTTCCTGGAAAGAGGGGGTAAATAAAGGATGGGGAAAGGGGAGAAAAGTTTTATTCTTTTTTATTTTAAAGTTTGTTTTTCCTGAAAAAATATCTTTCTCTCTTCTTAAGAAAAAATCTTGAAAAGAAAAAAATTACGTTTTACGTTAGAAATATACATATATTATATACCTCTTACATTTTACAAATGTAGCAAATTATTCAATACAAACGGACACCAAAAAATGTAAAAAATAAAAAAAAAACCTTTTTTCTACGAAACCAGGTAAATTAGTGCAGATTTTTGTTTTTGTTTTCTTAAAAAAAATAAAATTGAAGCAAAATGCCTAGATTTGAGACAAGACAGACCGAACCGGGCCCGGGGCCCAGCGCTGGAGCCATGCTCCTGGACGTACATTTTCCTTCGTATTTCAAGACACTAAGGGGTAGGTCCCCCTCCCCCTGCATGTGGCAGGATAACAAGCTGACCGGGTGTGGGAGTACCTGTGCACGAGAGTGTGGGAGGGGGGAGCTGGGAGAGGGCGTAAGGCGGCATCCGACCTTTCCCGGAGAGCAGCAGTCTGCCTGAGCCTGTCACCTGTGAGAGAACCCATGGCTAAGGAGAGAGAGCGGCCCAGGCTGGGCTGGCCCCTGAGAAGTCTGGGGGACAGACGGTGCTGGGCTGAGGAGCCAGGGCACCGCCCCGCCGGGGGAGGTAGAGCTGGTGCCCAGTGCGGGGGAGGCTGGCAGTGTCTGTCTGGGCTGGACCCACTGCCACAGCAGTTGCTCACTTGGGGTCACCGGGGAGGGTGGGGTGCCAAAGGCTTTGGTACTTTCTGGCGATGGGGACCCTGATGCCATGTGCCCCACTTGCCAAAGACTCATGGTATGGAAGCTGGCCCACTGGGGCTGGGTGGGAGAAACAACTTCTCTTCCAGCAGAGGGGGGAGTGAATGCTCTTCTGCAGTCCGAACACCCTGCTGCGCTGGCTGGGCCCGGCCCGCCCAGAAGAACACCCGTCACAGCATCGAGGCCCAGAGGGGCTGGGCCGGGCAGTGAGGGCGGATGGCAAGAGGCACCAAAAAGTTTTCAAGCAGGCAGGGGCAGAAATGTATTAAAACATCTATACAACCAAAGGACCAAGAAGTCTTAGTTTGAGGCTCAGGACTGCCTGTTATAGGCACGGCCCCAAAACGCTCACCCGCCAGGGTCTCAGCTCCCACACCGGGCAAGGGTCACACTACAACAGGAGGGCCCAAGTCCAGGGACTTCTCTTAGCGGTCAGAGGCAGGGTATTCCCTCAGTCCCTCGCAGCGAACCATTTAAAATTTTTTTGGTCAAAAACAAAAGTGCAGATCCCTCCGGAGTTTGGAAACCAGTTCCTTCGGCAGTGCTCTACTCTGGGAGTGTCTTAGGCTCAGCCAGCCTCACTGAACCACACAAACCACCCGAACCACCCTATGAAAGGACTGACAACCTGCCCTGGACCGTTCCCCAACCTCAGATGTAAATAAGCACTTGCGGCGACCCAGAATCACACCCAGAGGGGAAGCTTCACATGGCTGGGAACCCTTTGAAATAGGACAGCAAACCAAGCACACACATGCATACACCCCCCCCTCAACTGGCCTCATCTCCCCACCCACCACCTCAGGCCCAGGGAAGAAAGGGCTGCGAGAGATGCCACACAAGTCAACAGCTGGGTCTCCAGGGCCACAGTGACAGTCTGGTACTCCAGATGGGGATGGCGGTGAGGAGGCCACAGGACAGAGATGAAAGGAATTCCAACAGACAGAGCACTAACCTCCCCATGACCCATGCCTGAGAGGGAGTGGGGGCCAGGGTCAGACCTATCTGAGTGGCAGGACACAAGAAGGCCTGCTGAGGTTGGATGGCTTTGAGTGAGAGGACAGCTGGGTGACTGATGCAGTGACATGGGACAGCCTCTCCCTGTTCTGAGGAAGGCCAGGCCCCAGCTGCGGCTCTCCCTTCCCTGTGAGCTTGGACACACCAACCCTAAACCAGGTGTGTGAAGGAGGGAGGAAGGGAGAGAGGGCAAGAGGGAGCAGCAGTTCACATCTGGACCATTCTTAGCACAGGAAGCCATTAATCAAAGATGTTATATAGAAAACTACATGTAAAAAAAAGAAAAAATATAAAAACCCAAACCAACCAAATAAATCAGAGGCAGGCAGGAAAAGAGCAGGGAGGTTGAGTTAAACACGATTCAGGTGCTTCGGGAGCCCCCTTCCACTCCACGCCTCGGCTGCATCTTTCTAGAAGTGAGAGTGAGAAGATTGGAAATCTTTTTGTGTATTTTTCTTTTCCTCTTTTTTTGGCCTTTCCTTTCTTTTCTCTTTTCCGTGGTCTTGCGTTCTCACGGCCCCACAAGCAGGTGGGTGGTCAGTTGGCCAGCACGACGGGCTGGAACGGCTGACTGGGATACTGCATGGTGTTCAGGTTGTAGCTGAGGCCTTCCACGAAGGGCGTCTTCTCTAGGAAGATGCTGTTGGCGCCACCTCCAAATACCTGGGCCACGTCAAAGCTGCTGCTGTTGCAGGTGCTGGCCCCACTGCCCCCAAAGGGGGCCGGGGTGCCACTGCCCTGGCCATCGGCCCCGTCAAAGAAGAGGCTGGGAGAGCCACCACCATTGTACACGAACTCCTTGGCATTGGGCGAGAGCTGGGACTGAGGGGCTGGGTTGGGTGTGATGAAGTTCAGTGAATGCATAGACAAGGAGAGGCTCTTGTGCTTCAGCAGGTTGTTGGTGGGAGAGCGGGCCATGTGAGGCTGCTGCTGTGGGGGCTGCTGGCCGCCTGCCCCACCGCTGGCCACACCCCCACCACCCCCAGCCCCACCGCCCTTCTTCATCTTGGTGGAGCCAAACTTGGTGGCAGCGAAGGAGGCGGTGGTGAAAGTGATGGGCTGGGTGGAGCGCGGGATAAAGGTGGGGCTGGGAGACTGGCCAAAGGATGGTGATGGGGAGTTGGACAGGGAGCTGTCCTGGCTGCCGATGGGCACGAATACCTGTGCATCAGGGTTGAAGCTGCTCTTGATCTCCTTGTCTAGCTCTGGGGCAACACAGCCCTCGCTGTCATCCAGGTACAGCACTTTCACAGCGCCTTTCTCCCCGATCTGGTAGGACACCTCGAAAGGGTCAATCCAGACGCTCAGCTCCTCAGGCACGTTGGCCCGCACATCCTCTACCGCCAGGCCACTCCGCTTGGCGGCCAGCTCCACCACAGGGTCCACTATCTCCCCGATGTGGACACAGCGAAAGCCAGAGCCCTTCAGTGGCTTGTCAGGGTACCAGTGGCCTTCGTATTTCTTTTTCAAGAGCCGCTCTAGCTCCTCCCCAAACAGGTCTGCCCGCCGCCGGGGCAGCTTGTTGTATAAGTAGGAGATGATGAAGTTCAGGGCCACTTTGATCTCCAGCTGCATGGTCCTTTCCTGGGCAGATAATCACCACAGGGCACGTGCACAAGCCAAAGGCGAAAGATGGAAGGCAGGCAGCCTCGGGCTCCAGATGGCTCTGGGAAACAAGAGAGGGCATCATGAGTAGATGAGCAGAAAGCCTCGGGCGATCGATGGCAAAGGACATGTTGGCCCCGACTTTGGATCACACAGACCCAGGGTCCCACTTCTGCTCTACTGGTGACTGCCTCTGTTGTGGGGCTGAGAGCAAGTCGCTTTTTCTGAGCTTTAGGTTCATCAGCCACATGAAGTTACCATGAAGACTAGGTTAGTTCAAGGATGTAAACCACCTCATGCTCTACCTGGTGTTCAGTATGTACTTGATAAAACTAGCTACTATTTTTAAAGTAATTCTAAAGAAACTGAGATGTTGTGGTTTCCAATACTTTGAGAATTCAGACCACTGCCCAACTAACACAAAAAAACTGAATCCTGAACTCAGCTGAAGGGAAGGCTTCTGCTAACTCATTAGTCTCTATAATATCTCGGTGAAACTGTGCTCCCAAATTGCCACAGGCCAAGATATGTTTAAAATCTTTAGTTTCCCTCCTTAAATGGAAAGGGATACAGGTCACTGAACAAGAAGCAGCACTGCCAACGTTTCACTGAAGGTTTGGACTCCCGTCACATCCAGTTTGTCATCCCGGGCTCCTGGGTGTGTATGTGCTCTGGCTCACTCTGGGTTCGCACAACTCATTTAATGGCGCAGTATGGCCCAGGCAAGCACTGCCATCCAGACGGCCTCCAAGAATAGAGATGAGAGCATGATTCCCAGGGAAAAGTCAAGGGGCCTGGGCCAATAATGGAACTGCTGACAAGGATTGCCCAGGGCTGCGGAGGAAGGAGAGGGAAGGAGGGTCCTGCCAGCCAACACATGTCTAGAGGGTAGGTGATGAGGAAGGAGGGCAGAGAGAAGAAATTTTCCATCACCCTGCAGCTTCCAGCTGGGGATCCATCATCATTCAGTCTCCCAGGGACTGTCTGACCACCTGTCCTTGGCCCCAGATCAGATTTATCAAGTGTTTGGAGATCCCTGGAGAGGAGGCAGCCCAAGATAAACACTTGGATTGTTATTTTGGGACTGTCTCACAGCCAGATCGCACAGAGGTCAAAGAGGTTTATTCCCGACTTCTGGGCCAGCCTCAAGTCCCAGGAAGATGATCTGTGAGGCCTTAAGAGCCAGTGATCCTCATCTCCTCGCTTTCTCCAAAAGGACAGCTCCAGGCTCATGCTACGGGAGAACTGAACTAGAAAAGGCCACCTGCCTTGCAGGGCCGACAAGGCCAGAACACATTCCTAGCTGGACCTTGGGGTGAGACTGTGCTGCTGCGCTTAGCACAGAAGCAAGACTGATCCAGACTCCATCAAGGGCATCTTCAGTCCTGGGATAGACCTGGCGTTGGAATTGGATTAAAATCCCTTCTCGGTCCAGCACAGGGTATCCAGGGACTAATTCTAGGCTTGAGGATCTTGAATTTTCTGAACACCTGTCTCAACTCACTTCCCTATAGTTCTCAGACCTGGGCCATGTCTCCTAGGAGCATTTTTAGGATTGAATTCTCAAGTGAAGCTCTCTGGGGGGAGTTTCAGAGAAGATGCACCAAGTCAATCTGGAGTAGCACACACACTGGCTGGGTGTAGTCCTGACCTCATTTCAGGTGTGAGTAGACAGAGGGTCATGTGGGGGAGTCCCCAACAGAGATGCTCTGAGCACAGACTCCCCCACGCTCCCCACAGGGATGCTCAGGATTCAGGAGACCCTTATCTCCCCTCTATCACAGCTTCCAGCAAACACTGAATCTCCAAGTTGCTTCAAATGTCTATTCATGGTCACCACAGACCAACTCCGGGGGCCTTCTGGTTTTAAGAGAAGAACAAGGGTAAAGGTAAGGGGCTTTCTGTTTTTGAGGAATGGGTTCATCACCAGATGCAAAGCCAGCCACCAGGAACCTGGACCTCCACTCAAGAATGGAGGTATGGCTCTGGCTAGTGTGGCTCAGTGGATTGAGTGCTGGCCTTGGAACCAAAGAGGTACTGGTTTGATTCCCAGTCAGGGCACATGCCTGGGTTGTGGGCCAGGTACCCAGTAGGGAACGTACAAGAGGCAACCACACATTGATGTTCCTCTCCCTTCCCCTCTCTAAAAATAAATAAAACCTAAAAAAAAAAAAAAAAAAAAAAAAAGAGAGATATGGCCCTGGCTGGTGTAGCTCAGTAGATTGAGCGTGGGCCTGAGAACCAAAGGATCACTGTTCGATTCCCAGTCAGGGCACATGCCTGGGTTGCAGGCCAGTTCCCAGCAGGGGATGCACGAGAGGGAACCACACAATGATATTTCTCTCCCTCTCTCCTTCCCTTCCCCTCTAAAGAAAAATAAATAAAATCTTAAAAAAAAACACGGAGGTATGTAAGGGCTATGGCAGCCCACCAGAGGCGTCCAATACGGAGGAGACTAAAATGTAAACGCTGTGAGGAAGCTGGCACTGGTCCCCAAGGATGAGCCTGAAGTGAAAGACCTGAATCCAGTACACGACACTCCTCAAGGCATCACACAGCCTCTTGGCATGCCGCACAGACTGAAGGGCTTCTACGCATTTCCAGCCCTCCTCCAACTTTAATGCATATTTGCCTTCTAAGCTAACCTCCCCTAAACAGTTCAGTCTCAAACTGAGAGCATTTTAAATGCAGGTCAAAGTCACTGGGAAATGAGCCTCCCACTTTGAAATACAATAGAAGCACTATCATCAGCCCTGCCTAGCTACCCATTTTCTGCAGCATAAGCAACTAAAGCTGCACACCAATTTATACCTCAGTGATGCTGCCGCACAAATGAGGAAGTATATATAATGCCACCTTTGCCTCTTTAATTGGAGAGCAGGCCAGGCCAGATGGCTGTGGGGTGGAACCGAACAAAAATGCCGGACAACCAGAATGGGATTTTCTGCTCTATCGGCTCAGGCTCTAATTTTGACTTCAAGAAGCTTATGGAACTGAGGATTAAAGCACTGGTGCTGTCTTGTCTTTAACTAAAGATAGAAGTAACCACTCCAACGAGTTTGCTCATTTTCTTTTTAGGTGATGAACAAATTCTAGAGTTTACACATAAAATATTTATAGTATGTGTAAGATTAGAAAGCCTAGAAATAACTACCCTTCAACAAAAGCCACAAGTAGATTTGCGTTAACCAGCAGAAGAGAAGTCTAAGAAGCTGTTTAACAATAGCAAATTTACCTTTTGTCAATATATTAAAAAGTTGCAAATGTGAGACTAAATTCTGCCAAACCTTATTTAGAACCTTATCTTCCACTTGTTTACTTCCAGCAACAAAGTTACTCAGATCCCTCTAACTGCCTCATTTTAAAGAAAAGTGCATAACAGGACAAAAATGAAGGTGGTGGTAGCCTCCCTCAATGACAGGGTAATGGACAGCACAAAGAGAATGCCTAGCAAAAATGCAAAGGAAGAACTGTAAGAAGAAAAATTGTTATATACTGGAGGAGAAGAGGACCTGGCTGGGCAGAATTGGTCAGAGCGTCACCCCGATACGCCAAGGTTGTGGGTTCCATCCCTGGTCAGGGCACAGACAAGAAGCAACCAATGAATACATTGATACATGGAACAACAAATCAATGTCTTTTTCTATTAAAAAAAATCGAATAAAAAACTAAAGGAGAAAAGGAAAGATAATGATAAGGGACCCCACCAGGCTCTCAAACCGTGAGAACCTATACAAATATTCAAGCATCCCAAAGCCTTAACTTTCAAAGTGTTTTACAATCAAGTACAACTGGATTCAAGTGAGTGTGGGCAGAGCAGTCAGGGAGGAGGGGTCTTCAATTTTGACAAGGTCAGTAGGTGTCACAAACTGGGTGCCAGGGAGTAAGAGCTAAGCTCCAGGGCCATGGGGGACAAAGCCACCCCACCTGTCCCGGAGCACCGACATGGCAGGTGTGGTTCAAAGGCTTCCAGGACTTGGGCCGACTGACTGCACAAGCCCGCCCAGAATCTCACACCATCTCCCCAAAACACTGGCTGGCACAGCCCAAGTCTGACGGCAAGGATTCTTCCGCCCAAGAGGGTCTTTTCTACGGCACTCTTGGTTCCTCCGAAGCCAGGAAGGCTTGACTGAGCCCCAAAGTAAGTGGGGAGGCCAGTGGCGAAGTCAGGCCCGCACTCTGGGACTTGTAGTCCTCAGAAACCACAAACTCTGGTTGAACCAAGTGACCTACTTTCTTTACACACTACACTTCCCTACGTACTTTGCGAAGGCTCCGCTGGCAAACAACGCATGCTCAGTAAGGGCAGCTGGCCGAGGTTCAGAGAACCGAGGAAAAGTTTCCGAGGCACATGCGCGCTGTAGTGGACTGCCCCCTCCCCCGCCCACCGCCTAATTAATTTTATATAAATTCTACCCATAAGGCCTACTCGCTGTACTGTATCACCGTACCATACCCTTGTCTCGGTTTCCTGAGAGGCTGAACTTTTTCTCCCTTTCTCTTTACAGCCTCCCATGGCTGCTGAATTAAGTATCTGCTTCAAATTAGGTTTCCTGGCTGAAGGCGGTGGGCTTGAATAGATAAAGTCACATTCCCACCCCCATCCCAGCCACTTAATCTGTATTCCTGGGGTTTGGTGGTCTCTGTCTGGAGTTGCTGTAGGGATGGTAGATTCAAAAAGAAAGAACCCTGTCAGTTAAGGACCTGCAGGCTCGGCTCCCGCACCCCAACAACCAGGAAAGTAAAGGCAGTAGTTAAAAGCCAGTTCTTCCCGTCCTTTCAGGCGAAGAAATTACCAGTCAAGCTGCGGGGAGGCGCCAGGCAGGCAATCGGAAGGCCAGAAGCCAGCAGGGCCCAAGCCTCACGCTTCTTCTAATTCAAGTCCGAGTAACCAGACCCGGGGAGGGAAATGGGAAGAGGTTCCCGGGCAGGGAAGGAAAAACATATATCTGACACCTGGACATCATCACCCTCCAATACTTAAAATTGTTTGTGAGTCTCCTCCCACTGCAAGGCCTGCTCTATGACCAGACTTACCAGATCCTAAGCAAAGCTCCCCTACAGGGTGTTAAACAAACCTCCTAAATCCTTCCTCCCACACTAGCTTCTCTCCCCCTCTGCTTAAGAGGGGGATGGGGATAGGTGCCCAAGAAAGCAATAGGGGTGTTTTCCTCCTGGAAAATCTAAGATGAGGGACCTACTCCCAGGGTAGGTTGGATAGGAAGGAGAAAAAGGTTAGTATACAGAGCAGGCCGCCAAGACCCTTTCCACTGGCCCCCAAGTTGAAGCCTGCTGTGTGGGGTTCTGGTTTCTCTTGGGGGATAGAAAAGGGCCTGCCAGTTGCCCTTCCTCTCTGCTCCCTCCTTCCCCTCCCTTTGTGGTCAAGGACACAGTCCATCCTTTGGACAGGAGAATGAGCTTAGGAGTAGGGGCTGTTCCTCCCAGGCACCTCACCAGGATCCACCAGAATCCACTCACTGGTATTCCTCTAAAGGTACTCCTCCCCCCCACCCGCCCAGTTTCCACTGAAAACACTAAAGAGGATAAAGAGCTTAAGCCCAAATTGTGAATTCTGGCTCAGCGGCCAGAGGACGGTCACCAGAGACCGATCCAAAAGCGGGGGTGGGGGGGTGAGGTGGGGGGGGGTGTCCACCCTTCATCTCTCAGGCTTCACAGGGCCAGAAATAGACCCTATTAATTTTTGCCAACCCCTTCCCTACACACGGGGGGGGGGGAGCAGAAAACAAGGCCAGGATCCCCTTCCTTCCTCTGATTTATTTTATGGTGGTAAGAGTTGGGGAACAAGAAAAATCAAGCATGTCTCTAGGACATGAAGAACTAAGGCAGGCGGACGGGGGGAAATGCACCCCACTCAGGAGGGAGCTACTCTTGCAATAGGGAGAGAAGGGGGTTCTGGGGTAGTACCCCAGGATAGCAAGAGCGTGAAGAGGGGAAATGGAGCACAGGGGGCAAGGAAAACGCTAACCAGGCGTGGGGCGGGGGCGCGACAGCAACGTGGAGCGTCCAGCAAAACGAAGAGACGGAGTGGGGCGGGAGAAGCTGTCGGGACTATCGGGTATCAGGGGGCAACCACCCGCAAGCCTCCCACTCACTCACTCGGGTCTCTGAGGTGGCGGGACGGGCTGCTGACCACCGGGCAGCTTCTCCCTCCAGGGTGGTCCGGGGCGTGGGACAGAGGTTGCTCGCCCTTCTTTTCCTGGGCGCCACCGGGCCGGGGCCAATGTATCCTCTTCTTCGTTGAGGTTTGGGGGCGAGTTGGTAGGGGTTATGGGCTATGGCTCTCAAATAATAATTCAGCTTTTTGCAGGTCGGGCTGAGCCGTGGGGGACGGAGGGCGGTCGGGCCCGCCGGCGGTGACCGCGTTGGGATGGCGGACCGGAGGGTGGCTTGTGTCACGGTGGGGAGGACAGTCCAGGCTGTGGCTGGTGGGTGGTCCTGCCCTTCTAGCTCTGAGTCTTCTTAGCCACTCACTCCTCCCCAAGAGGACCCGCACCTTCCAGTGCCCCGTGCCGAAGTGAGCAAAGTCAATGAAAAGTTTCACCCTTGGCAACCCTGCGCACGGATCTGGCTTCCCCACCCCTGCGTGATGCGTCCCTCCGCCCTGTAGGGGCGGGGCCGGCACGGTGCCGGAACTACTTTCGAACCAGCGGGTAGCTTAACCCCTGGGGTGGAGAGGCCCTTGCACTACGAACTCGCGGGTCCCCACTCCTCCCCCCTTGGCAGGCCCCTTGTCATCACTCAGCTCCCAACTCAAATGTCAGCAGGGTCTTCTGCCTTCCCCATTGCAGCGCCTTCTCATAGTTGGTTGTTTTTTTTTCCCACACCCCAAACCAATCAAACCGTGCTCGTAGTGTAAGGTGTCTTTCCAGGTGGACAGAGTTCCGCTAGGGCAGGAGCTTTGGACTTTGACCGGGATGTTCACTTTGAGTGTATTGGATGAAGGGTTACTACGGGAAGGGAAACGTCCACACTGTGTCTTTGGCCCTGCACCTGCTTCCAGGCCACTTTGGCTAGTATTTCCAGTTCTGGAGGACTGTTCCGCAGCACGAGCACCACCTGAGGCGGTGGCGGGGCGCGCTGAGAGCACTACACGAGCTGTGGAAACGTTTTGGACCTTTATCAACCTAGGTTGGCCTGACTGCCCCGAGCGCCTTGTCCTGGTCGGGGAACGTCGGGAGGGCGAGGGGAAAATCAGGGCTGGGCACCGTGAGCTAGAGAAGGGGGGTTGAGAAAGAGGGCGGACGACCAGGAAAAGGAACCGCCTCCGCCCTGGTACCTCGTGGCGGGGCCGGCCCCTCTTCCACTCCCCTATTCTCTCCCCGGCTGGCGACCCCCATAAGGGACACTAGAAAGCCACATTTCTTTTAGTAACAGCTCAGCCTTCGGTGTTGGCGCCTGCCAGTGCCAGGGACGTAGGACTCGCACACCCCACGGTCCCTTGGACAGTGGGTCCAGGCTCGGCGACCCGAGCCTCTTTCCCGGGCCTTGGCCACACAGGCTGTCGGTCACTTTGTGACTGCATGCGACACAGAGTTAGAAGGCCCATGCCTGGATTGTCAGGTGGCGAGGCACGGGGCTCCTGGGAGCTTGAGTGTTAAGTCTTTTACCCTGTTCCTTCTTTAATCGTCCATTCCCCAGGTCTCTCCCATCCCTGACCTTTATTCTCATCCTAGAGGGTTCCAGCCTATCGGCAGACGCTGAGCCCAGGTGGGGTGGGTGAGATCTGAGTTTCCAGCTACGAACGTTTGCGTATTTCTTCATTGATCACTCCTTTTTTGGCAAGGGCAGGGAAAAACATGGGGTTTAGTTTTCCTTGACCGCAGCAGAGAAATGCCGGATTACAGGGCAAACTCCACAGGGGAAGGAAGGTGCGAGGGATCTGGAGCAGGAGAGCCCCATCCCCCACAGTCTGAGCAATTCAGCTCTTGGGGCACCTCCAGGGACTACTTGCAATGTGCGTCAGCGAGAAGCAGAACGTCACATATACGCCCCCTCCGCCATGCCCTGACTCCTCCCCTCTCCTTTTCCCTCTCCCTCCTCCCCATTCTTCCCTCCCTTCCTTCCTTTCCCCCTCTGCATCCCTTCCCTCTTCTCCTCGTTTTTATTTTCATTTTAACCAGCACGCCCTGCCCGGGCAGAGTCCCCGCCGACCCAAAGGGTTCCTGAGAACTGAATATCTAAAAATATACCTGGTATGTTAGCAACAGTCTTCCCATTGGTCGAGTACAGGGGAGAGGCGGCATCTGATTGGGTTTTCATCCAACCGCTGGGACTGGGGTTGGGGGCTGTGAGCCAAGGAGCCAGGTCCTTTGGGCAGAGCAAGAGTTTGCGCAGTGGGGCGTTGCAAAGGCTGCTGGTATTGGTAGTTATTTATTAGAGGTAGTCATGGAAATATGTGGGTTTGAATCCTAATTCTTCCACCAATCATGTTATCTTGATTTAATGGCAGTAAATCTCTTTACATCATCAAACTTGTTTTCTCATCCTTAAACTAGAGTTCGTGTGGATTAAATATGATTCTGTATGCAAAACCTGACAAACAGTTGCTATTCTTAAAGGTAACCATTCTGGCAAATTACATTTTACATAACCTGTGTTCAGTTCAATGTGCATTCCCCAATAAGAAAACCTTGCAAGACTGAATGATAAGAAAGGTGAGGGCGAGCTGAAAGAAATTCTCCTAGAGTACCTCCGGAAGGGAGTGATGGAGTCGATATAAGCAGATACCAGGATGGAGGACTCCTATACAGGCTGAGAGAGGGTGGACTGACCCCTGGAAGGAAGGGGCTGAATTAGTGTGTTCATGCTTTTATTTGTATTTCTCCTGCACTGCTGAAAACAGCAGCCCTGAGCAACGTCACTAAAAACAAAACAAAACAAAAAACCCCTGAGAAATCCAGGCTCCTTCTCAAATGGGAGCCCTGTGTAAAAGGGTTAGCATGCAAATAGGAAAAGATAAAACACAGGGAAAAAGCTAATCGCCCTCCTTAACTGCTGATGTCTCTATTTATGATGTGGTGAGGAAGATGTTTTTTCTCTTCCAAACATGATTTCATCTTGCCGGGGCTTGTGAACTGAATCCCTGCTCGAGCATTCCACGATCTCTTCCCATTTTGAATAATCATCCCTTCAGAAGCACACACCATGTTTTAGAAATGGTGAGTTTCAAAGTAAGCATGTGCAGAGGGGAGAAGTGGGGGCAGGTCCCCTGAGAGTAAGCAAGTTATGCCAGATGTTTTGTTATTCTGACAAGTCAGGCTGGTCATAATTAGGACCAATGAACTGTCAGGGGCGAGTCCTCCCATATATACATGCCAGGGTGACGAATTTTGTGGTTTCTTTTATGTTATCCAAGAAGACAGTCCTTCTGATTCTTCAAATCCATTGCCACAGAAGGGTAGGAACAAAGAGAGCCACAGCAGAAACTGGCTTTGGAAAAGAGTGATTGAATGTACAGGGCAGTGTGAGTGATTCTAGTAAATAAACCTATCTTTTGCTGAGAGTAACATTTTAGTCCAGGTGGTGGATAGAGTTGATAAGGAACTGAAAAATTGGGAAAAGATGGAAAACAATTGGAATTTTTTTTTAGGCACAAAAATTCCAACCAAGGCAAAGGATCTTTCAACTTTAGCTTCCTTGCTTCAAACTCCTATTAAGCAGCTACAGGTCAAAACAGAGTGACAGTCTCTCTGAAATTCAGTCATTTCAGTTTGGTTCCCTGGGAAGCTAATTTTCTTAATTTAAAAGCTGCTAATTGGGCCCTGGCCAGGTAGCTCCGTTGGTTAGGTTGTTGTCCCAATACTCCAAGGCTGCAGGTTTGATTTCAGGTCAGAACACATACAAGAAGCAACCAATGAATGTATCAGTAAGTGGAACAACAAAGTGATGTTTCTCCCTCTCCATATATATATATATGTATAATATATACACATATACACACACATATGCACACATATAGTATTATATATATATAATCTGCTGATTGTCAGGTCAAGGTCCACATCTGTTGGATGTATTGTCTTGGCATAGACTAACACACTAAAAATTTTTTAGGGAGCTGAAATGTTTTTAAGGTTATTTATTTATTTATTTCTAGAGAGAGGGGAAGGGAGGGAGAAAGAGAAACATCAATGTGTGGTTGCCTCTCATATGACTCCCACTGGGGACCTGGCCTGTAACCCAGGCACGTGCCCTGACTGGGAATTGAACCAGCAACCCTCTGGTTCACAGCCTGTGCTCAATCCACTGAGCTATACCAGCCAAGGCTGAAATTTGCTGTTTTTTTTTTTCTCACCCAAGGACATATTTTCATTTGCTTTTAGGGAGAGAGAGAAATATCGATTGGTTTTCTCTCTCTCTCTCTTTTTAAAAGATTTTATTTATTTTTAGACAAAGGGGAAGGGAGAAAGAAAGAGTGGGAGAGAGACATCAATGTGTGGTTGCATTTTGTGTGCTCCGTACTGAGGACTTGGCCCACAACCCAGGTATGTGTCCTGACTGGGAATTGAACTGGCGACCCTTTGGTTCACAGGCCAACACTCAATCCACTGAGCCATACCAGCCAGGGCTGGGCATTATTCTTAAGTTTCCTTGCAAGGTGTATGAGAGGCATTCACGTGGAGGCTGATAGAGCACTTAAAGTGTTTTGCTGAAATTAAGTTTTGGGAACATTTGTAGATGCAAGATGTTTATGTTGACCAGAGTGGTTAATAAGCTAATTTAAAAAATTTAAAAATTTTTGTGAAACATTTTCACTCATATTACACTTTAAAATCACTATGGAACCAATGACAATTCTAAACATAATCTGAAAATGTTCTGTTCTCTGCAACATTTTGACATATCAGAACCCTTACCTGATGCTTTAGAACTGCTTAGCTTCCAAACACATCATCCGGTTCAGATTGTCTCCCGTCATCTCCTTTGCCTACGGGTTCCAACATGTGCTTCCAAGCCCAATTATCTGGTTTCCTTGGCTTACATTATTTATTCAGTACGAAGCACCTGCTACCTGCTGGGCAGAACAGGCTTGGTTCCTGCCACCACAGAACACAGCTTACTAGCTATCAAATTACCAAATGCTTATGGTGCTACATAGACATGTAAAAGGGAAAACTTAGAGGCATTTCTGAGGAAATATTTAGCTGCGGTCTGAAGGATGAGTCGGAGTTAGGTGATCAAGAGTGCCGGAGCTTAGAGAGGAATTAACAGGTAAAAAGCGCTGAGGCCAGAAGGCGAGTGACAGACCTAGGCAGGTCTAGGAGGAATGGAAAATCACCAGGCTAGAAAAGGGCACCGTGGAAAGTTGCCTGCACACTCTACCCAGGAAAAACAGATGAAGGTTAGGGTCTGGGGTCCGCCTATCCGGTATAACAGCATGCAGCTTTAATTTAAGCCTGCAACCAGCTCTAGCCAATCAAACTCTGATAACTTTCACAGGATTTTGTGTTTAAAAACTGACTTAAGGCCCTGACTAGTGCGGTTCAGTGGATTGAGCTACAGCCTGTGAACCAAAGAGTTGCTGGTTTGATTGCCAGTCAGGGCATTTGCCTGGGTTGTGGACCAGGCCCCCAGTGGGGGGAACATGAGAGGCAACCACACATTGATGTTCCTCTCCCTCTCTCCCCTAAAAATAATTTTTAAAAAATAACCCAACAATCCAGCGAGCCCCAGTCTCCCTTGATTGGCTCCTTTCCCTTATTCCCTATTAAAAAACCCTGTTCTCCTTAGTTCGCCAAGTTGGGCAGGTTTCTTGAGGGACTCCGACCTCACGAGAGAGCAGAGAGCTCTCAATGAAGAGCAGCAGTTTCAGGAACGGAAAGAAACCTCAGTGGCTGGAGTGCAGAAAATTGGTGGCAGGAGACAAGATGGGGAAGCCTTAAGGATTATCTTTGCCCCTGTGACCATGAACTTGCCCTAGGTTCCCTGAGGTGTCCCAAAGCTTGGTCCAAGAACCCTTCGTGAATCCTTGGGGTTATAGTGGAGCTGTTCTTGGCAGGCTCCTTTATTAAATTCCTGAAGGCAGACAGCACATCATGAATAATCAGGTTTTGTTGATCCAGTTAGAACACTCTAATTTCTTCCTGTGGTTTTACCTCCAAGTTGCAGGACAACCTTGGATCCTCAAAACCTGTAACCTTTTTCAAATCAATGGTGTCCAAAGACCTACTTAACTCAGATGTCTCATTATGAATGTCCCTCAAGTTAACATACTTATTTATCACCTCTAGTGGGCAAACGTACAGATAGCTGAGTTAGGGTTAAATGGCTGAATTTGTCCTCAGTCTATTAATTTAATTTAAAAAATCCTTAATGTGAATGTATATGCACTTTATGAAACAAATCAACTAAACTATCTCTTTAGTTCAAAATTAAAGTTGGACAGGAAGAAAAAATGTTAAGTTCCTAAAACTGGCTTTGGTCTACCTATAATGAAGAGAATGGCTAGTTTTGAATTCTTTCCAGAAGTAATAAGACAAGGAGGTATTCATGAGTCCCAATACCTCTATTCTGAATCGCAAGTTGCTGGGTGACTAAAACAAGTTCCTAGAGTTAAATTGGACAGTGATCAACTACCAGAAAATAAACACCTCCTTTATTAACACAATAACAACAGAAAGGGCTTTCCATTTTCTTAAAAAACAGTAACACGAACCAGCACTACCCAGCAAGTGTTATCAAGAGTAAATGCCCATGTTGACTGCTCCGCGGGCTCCCTGCCCCCTCGATGTCCCACCACTGCCGTCAGAGCTGCTGTGAGCACGGGCACCGTCAGCCAACTCCCCGAGAACGCTGACATGGTACTACTTCTGTTTTAAAGCTCCTGATGTAGAGAACTTATCAATGTGGAAAACAGAGTCTTGCTTCTTGAATTCAAGAAAAACCATGAACTGATCTAGTTTTCTCTGACAGTCCACCAGCATCCTCTGTGACGACCCTTTTCCGTTTTTACGGCCTCGTGGGGGTGAGAGGAGAGGAAGGGGCGGGAGGGAGCCAGTGAACTGAGGGGCATTTGGGCAAGGTGCTGTGCTTCGTTCCCTTCCTGTTGGCGGTAGTGGGTGTCTTTTCTGGCGGCTGCGGCAGCCCGATGAAGGGAGGCAAGGCCACCCAACCAATCACCTCTTCTTAAAGCCGTATTTTTTGCGTTCATAGAAGAGATCTGTCTTAGAGCTCCCCAAATTGACAATCTTTGGGCAACCATCTCTCTGAAAAACAGAAGAATAGGGAAGTTGTCTAAAGTCTTTGAGCCTACATGGAGAGGGAATTAACATGAAAATAACGTTTGGATTAACGGTCTAGCCATACATCTCATCATTTTAGTTATCCTGTTCAATCAATCATCAAGTTACCAAGCAACTAGAATATGCCCAGGGCCCATCTACCTTCAATCCAATGGCCTGAGCTTACAATGTTGGATTCTTAGCCCATGTAAGTTGCTAATATGACATAGTCAAGGCGGGATCTACAACTCTTAAAATATCCAAAGGGTTTTCTTCTAGTGAAAGGTAAAAGTAACGATCATCTACAAATCCAGCTTTCTAACTCTCTTCCATTATCCCAAGAAAGGAGAGACTACCACCAAGGAAGGAAACGGAAGACTTCAGATAATAGTACCTTACATTTTCAATCTCGCAGGAGGCCCTGGCTGGTATGGCGCGGTGGATAGAGTGCCGGCCTGTGAACCAAGTTCCCGGGTTCGCTCCCCAGTCAGGGCACACGCCTGGGTTGCAGGCCAGGTCCCCAGTAGGGGAAGTACTAGAGGTAAGCACACAAATTGCGGTTTCTTCCTCTCTCCCTTCCCATGTCTAAAATAAATAAATTAAATAAAAAAACAGAAACCCTCACTGGAGGATACTGGGTTTGATGTGTCCTTATTAATTCACTGAGTGTGACACAGGGTCTTGGGAGAAGAGTGTTCCGGTGCCCTGTTGACGTCCCTACTCTGATTTGTAATGACATGCTCCCCTGGCCATTTTGCGAGCTTTGAGCTCGAGTGGTTTCAGTGAAGCCCCTGGGAAGCTGTGCTGTGCAGACGTGACGACCCTGTCAGTTAATCTGGAGTGACGGGAGGAAACTGCGAGTTGCCACTGCATAAACCCTTCACAGGTCTGACGATGTTATCGAACATCCAGGTCAGAGGAGGCTGCTTCCTGCGACACTGGGCTGCAGAATGAACCAATGAAGTCCTTGGACACCTCATTTCTACTGCAGCTGATTTCGCTTTTCAGGAACTGAGAGCAACACTACAGAAGTATCTGAACCCTGGCTAGGCAGCTCAGTTGGTTAGAGGGTGGTCTTGACAGACCGAGGTTGCAGGTTCAATCCCCAGTCAGAGCACATAGGAGTATCAAACAATCAATGCATAAATAAGTGGAACAAATCAATGTTTCTATTTCTCTCCCAACCCCCCCAAAACAAAAAAACCCAACCCAACAACACCCCCCCCGAAAACACCGAAAGCCAATACTAACATTTCATTACTTTCTAGAAAACATGTACCATGTACTGCATTGAGAACTACCATCTGTGGAGCTGGGTGTGCTGAGAGCGAGCCAGGCTGTGGGCCTGGCCCCCACTGCGGCTGCCAGGTGAACTCTAGTAAGTCATGTAATTTGTATGGAAAGTCCTGGAACAAAGGAGGGACAGCTGCCTCTCCCCCGCTCAAGGTAGGCTGACCTGAAACACAAGCGTGCTCTGAGCCCTTCGGAGGTGCTATGAAATGCTGTGGTGCGACGACAACCTGTTTCGACTTACTGTGCTTTACTGACTTGTGTGCCTAGGCAAATCAGTCCTCTTTGGACTCATGTCCCTCAACTGTAAAACAAGTAGACTGGCAATGCTCACAAGTTTGTATTTTTCTAGCCTTGAAGAGTCTTGAGAGGCGCCACCCCAACACGTGCAGCTGCACTCTCATCGGAGCCTCGGCTAAGGTGGGGGGCTCCGAAGTGAGGCCACCTGGGTTTCGATACGTTTATTAACCTCCCTGTGTCTCTTTTCAGTCACACTGGCAGAACCTACCTCCCAGAGTTAAGAATCAATACATACACTTAGAACAGTGCCTGGCGTACAGTCAGCTCTTACACGCAGGACCTCTTCTAGCACCCGTGTGTGCAATACTAAAACCTTCGTCGTCTGTCAGTCCTCCACAGGGAACACTTATCTTAGGCAGCTGTGTATTGAACTGAATGCCCAAGGTAGAAGTTTTAGGACCACTTTTACCAAAATTTCACAAAAAAAGTAGACACAGGACCGCCAAATGCTTGTTTCCCTGATACTACACACACCCACTAACACATCACCAGGAGAACCCTGAGTGGGCTTGCAGAGCAACCACCAAGGAGAACACAATGCCTCTGGATTTCTTTCCAGAGGACAGCTTTGTGTCAAGTTCATTTCTGTGACAGGAAAGAAAGCTACAAAAATTACCCTGTACCAGTGTCGAAAACCCAGGACTTTCTAGTAAAACTTTCAAACACTAACCATGTACCAAAACATCATACACCAAAAGGGAAATCTGTACAGAACTGAAGTGCAGGTAAAGGCAATTTAAAAATTTTGAGATCAGAAAAACACACTGACAATGGGTCCACGTCTCTATTTCTTTTTATTTTTTTAAGGATTTTATTTATTTATCTTTAGAGGAAAGGAGAGAGGGAGAGAAACATCCATGTATGGTTGCCCCTCGTATGTCCCCTACTGGGGACCTGGCCTGCAACCCAGGCATGTGCCCTGATTGGGAATCGAACTGCAATCCTTTGGTTCGAAGGTACTGGCTTGGGCTCAATCCACTAAGCCACACACACCAGGGCTTTTTATTGATTTTAGAGAGAGGGAGGAAGGGAGACAGGGAGAAACGGAAACACTGATTTGTTGTTACACTTACTGATGCATTCACTGGTTGCTTCTTACATATGCCTAAATCAGGACCGAATCCACAACCCTTGTGTATTGGGATGTCACTCTAACCAAATGGGCTACTCAGCCAGGGCAAGATCTGCTTTATTGACAAACTTCAAGGTGAAATGTTGCCCATTCTTCGGGCAACTGTTTAATGAACACCAATGATGTGAAAACTAGACTATACGTTGTTTTGGGTCCTAAGAGTAGCACTGTTTTCTATCTGAAAGTTTACTTTAAAGACTTTCACACTTTCAGTAAATGCGTCCATGAACAGGGCTTATCACTTCCTTTTTGTAGATTTCCCCAAAGTCACACACAGCATGTTAGTAGCAAAGGCAGGCCTCGAACACGTGCCTTCTGCCTTCCAGTCTGATGGTTTTTTGGTAATAGGGCTTCACAAGAACCAAACTTTCCACATGGTCTAGGCAGTTACAAGATAATGCTAAATTTGTGAATTAACTTTAAAAACCATCATTTATCTTTTGCATCTATCTGCTCTGCCGGTCATTGAAACGGGAAGAGAATGGTGGAAACAGCGAGCGAGTGAGGCATGTGTACACGTCCTTAACCACCCTAAGGACAGTGTTAATGAGGTGGCAGGAGTCAAGGGCTTCGAGTTGGACCACCCATCCTCAGAGGGGATGAGAACATCTTTGACATTATAGTGGTTTATGATTTAAGCTCCTCCTTACCCAACAAAGTGTTCTACGTTAGTATTTAATTTCTCTTGTTAGGAGGAAAATTTAAATTTTAACTTTTCTCTTGGGGGGGGCAATAATGAGGGGAAAAAAAAAAGTTGCGAGACACTGTGTTAGAAAGACCCGAGTTCTAGTCTTGGATCCGCCACTTACTAGCCATGAGACCTTCAGCCAAGGTGCTTAATTTTTTTTTTCTTTTAAGATTTTATTTATTTATTTCTAGACAGAGGGGAAGGGAGTGAGAAAGAGAGGGTCAGAAACATCAATGTGTGGTTGCCTCTCATGTGCCCCCCACCAGGGACCTGGTTTGTGACCCAGGCATGTGCCCTGACTGAGAATCAAACCGGTGACCCTTTGGTTTGCAGGCTGGTGCTCGATCCACACCAGCCAGGGCAACATTTTTAAGCCTCAATTTACCCATCTATATCCATACCATTTTTGGAAAAGAATGTTCAGCACAGTGCCTGGCACACAGTAAGAACTCTATAGATGTTAGCTGCTATTTTGTTTTCTGGTTCAGACGGCTGAGGAAAATGATGAGTAAAAGGAGTAAAAGAATTAAGGGTTAAAAGGGATCAAGATGCTGCTGCATTAGAAGAAACTACAAATTACTCCTCTGCCAGCAACACCCACAGGTATTATCCCTGACTCCTGAATGCTTTTAAAATTTTTTTAAGTTTGATTTTAGAGAGAGGAAGGGAAAGCAGAGGAGAGAATGAGAGAGAGAAACATCGATTTGTTGTTCCACTCATTTATGCATTGATTGGTTGCTTCTTGTAAGTGCCCTGATCGGAGATCCAACCCACAACCTTGGCCTGTTGGGACAACTCCTAAGTATTCTTGAAGTTTTGAAAAACTACAGAGCAGCTCTGGCTGGCGTAGCTCAGTGGATTGAGTGTGGACTGCGAACCAAAGCATTGCTGGTTCGATTCTCAGTCAGGGCACATGCTTGGGTTGCGGGCCAGGTCCCCAGTGAGGGCCACATGAGAAGCAACCAAACATTCATGCTTCTCTCCTTCTCTTTCTCTCTCCTTTCCTTTCTGAAAAAATAAATAAAATCTTTACCCCCCCCCCAAAAAAAAACCTATAGAGCACACCCAGCTCAGTTTGTTGGTCTAATTCCCTTAAAAATTATTAAAGTTGCAGGAAGAGAACATTAATGAGCGTTGCTTTGGCTGCAGGAAGATCTCTGCATAGGAAAAAGTCTTAGGCTCTTAATGTACATGTTGATCTGTAAGACCGAGAGGCTGGACCATGTCATTGAACTGCTTTGTGTTCCTCAGAAACTATGAGTAGTGTGAGTTGGGTGCTATCTCACATATCCCCAGAAATTCCTGTGTAATCTGAAGTAGGGGAAGTGATGTATGGAACAGGCTCAGGGACAGAATGAGACATGAGGATCCGAAGGATCAGGGCACACGCCACACAAAGACAAATCAGAGAGCGATTAACAATAAGCACTCTCTGGCTGCAAGCTTATGCCAATAGTAACTCTAGCTACAACTACAGAAAAGTTCAAGAAAATTTCCTCAATGGACTCTTTAGCTAGTAGAAGATCATTTGTACTTTCCTCTTCACTGCTGTTGTCTTACCATGGTTTCACTGCTACGAACTATAAATAATTACCAAATACCAACTAGGTACCAGACAGTTCATAAGGGGAACTCCTGTGGACGACTTGTAGGGGCAGCAGCAAACATGTGTCCCATGCTTACAACACATGTCAGGCACCTTACCAAGAAGTGGGAAAAACGGGGTTCAAATGCACAAACCAACATTCTTTCTCTAAAGGAGTGGAGAGGGCACATGCCGGGGTTGCAGGCCCAGTCCCCAGTGGGGACCATGTGAGAGGCAACCACACACTCTAAAGGACTGGAACTTAGCTGGTGGATCAGATTCAAGCAGAATATGATTTGACAGTCAAATGTAAATAAATGCAAATCAGGGTTTAGGTCAGGAGAAAGTTCAAACCACCAAATGAAGTTAGTTTTTCATACTTCATCTATGAACCTTCTCACCTCCCTAAATAAGACTTACGTGTTTAAGAAATAATCTTATCTGGCCTGATGCATCATACTTACTGGGTGTAGAGAGAACCCAAATGCAGACTGCTGAGGTGGCTGGGCTGTTTCTCCTCAAATGGGCACATCCAACCAAAAGGAGTTATGAAAGACAGGGTTATGCGACACCACTAGGTTTAGCCAGACAGTCTGGGCGTGCCACCTAGTAGCTGGGTAAGGGACTGTAAAATGGGAATAATCATCCCTACTTAACAAACTCATTGTGAAGAATAAGGCAGGTAACATCCATACACTACCTATTCTTTCCTTGTGGGCACATTACGAAGTATACATCTTTTGCCTTATTCTAGATTAGGTACCAGATACTGTCTATTCACCCATTGGTACTGTATCACACTTCCTTTTATTGTGTCACAAGAAGAAAACACCACCAAGAAGTCTGCTAAAGAAAAACAGTAAAACTCATCCTTGCTGTAGATCTATAAGCCTTCTACTCTGCATTTGGTTTAAGGAGAACAGCTGGCAAGTGATACCACATGATGTCAAGAGGCAAAAATGTCGTAAGACAGAATCACAATTAATTCTATGATATTGAACCAAAGGCATTCTTTTACCTACTCAAAGCTGACATCAACTTGAATTGTCCCAAATGCAAATGTCACTATAATCACCCAGGCAGTCCTTAATGCTAGGAAAAAGAATTACTGAGTGGCTACTACACTGTACTGTGTACTGTGCTGGGACTTACAGAATGTAGGGCGTTGTTTCCAAATAAAAATAGAAAGACAGCAAAGGAACAGACAGAGGCCTCTCCAAATTGCTGGTCTTGACAAAGATTTGCTTCTCTTGCATTTTTACCCTTGATGGAAAATAACTGCCTTTTATTGGACTACACCCCCTTTGGCTCATAGAATTTGAAATTATAACCTAGGTGACTAGCTGAACATGGCAATCTCCACAGACCATAGGGGTTTGCCGTGGACAGCAAAGTGTTTTTAAATAAAAGAAAGGTCAGATGCAAAGCTCAGAACACACTCACGTCCTTCTCCTGGATGGTGCACTCCTTACAATAATAGGCATCAGAGACTCCAGGGCCTCCACAGATCACACAGCGCCCCTGATAGGAGCCGTAGTTACACTCATCACATATGCGCACCAGGGTGCAGGGGCGCACATAGGAGTCACAGATCACACACTTCCCGTCACCTGTGAGGAAGAGAGAATGGAGTTATGCCCACTTGCAAGTACCTCAAGTCCTCTGCCCTCCTCTTGTACTGGGGAAAAACCCTAGTCTCCATTTGAGAGTGACTTTTGATCCTCCTATTTTGGCATTGCAAAACTTGGGTTACTCAGTGTCCACCTCAATTTCCACCACACACAGGAAAAAGTCAATCAGCTAACAAGAGCTTAGCACAGCACCTGGTGGTTGGTGTCCATATAATTACAGGCAAAAACTGTGGGTGCTGGAGACGGGGTCATGCTACTTCCTGTCCAAAGCTACAGATTTTTCTCAAAATCTAAATATAGTGTCTAAAATGGACACATTGGAGTAGGGAGGTGAAGGAGGCCTTTGGTGGCAGTCTGGCATTCAGTGTTTATGTGCTTCCAGGCACATCTCAAAGCTCTCTTTGCAATCCCACAGGAAATGCCCGTTTGCTGTCTGCACAGAAATGGAGCACAAGGGTGGGGTGTTCCACTCACATTTTTCACACAGTCTTCCGATGGCTGCAAGATCAAAGATGGGAGAGTACTGTTAGAATTAAGTTTGACTGAAGAGGGGAGAAATACCCCCGAGCTTGGAGTGGGGACAGAAGCAGGGACTTCAGTGAGCCCTGAGCGATTTCATCCGCTTCATGCCCATAAAAACCCACGGCTTCCTGAAGCCCATCACAGGTCCTGGAAAATCTGTGTTTCTCTGGACCGCACCCCTGCCACCCACCTTCAGCTCCCAGCACGCGCGCTCCGCCCTCTTATTATTGGAGGCCGCAAACCTGCGCTCTCCGACGCTGCCCGCCGTGAGGCGGGAAACGTGGCATCTTCGAGGCCAGACCGTGGGAAGAGACGGGAACCTCCGATTCCCCAACTCCTAATACACCAACCCCACCTAGAGAGCTGCGGACATGAAAGCTGTCTTACCAACACCAGCCTGTTTGCGGCAAAAGATCAAGTCTGGATGATGTTTGGCCATAGCTCGTACTCAAACAGATCACCGGAAACTTCCGGAACTTCCGCTCGACCTTTAACCTCCATTGTTCCTGCCCCCTCGTCGCCGTCATTGGTCCTGCAGGCCTCCCGTGGCGGTCACAGTTTTTGCACCAAGCCTCGTTCGGTCTCGCGGGATCAAAACCTTTACTTCCCAAAGACTAGTTTTCGTCGTAGCTGAGGAGCCAGGTCCCTGAGTAACAAAAAAATGCCTTTCCCCGACTAGGATGGAAGAGACAAACTGAAGTACAAATATAAAATTTGCACTTTGATAAGTCATCTTTGTGGAAGTATTTACTTCCATACGTTTTTATGCAGCGTTTTTTTATTCCGTACTGGTTGCTCACACAGGAGCTCCGCCCACTGCGCACTTGGCACTGCAGTTTCGTGGAAGTCCCGCCTTCACCGTGACGCCCTTCGCCAAGCCACGCCCCCTTCCCTAAGGTTTTAAGTACGCCGCGTGGGACGTCATCTTTTACGCGACCTCATCTTTGTCAGTGCACAAAATGGCGCCTTACAGCCTCCTGGTGACCCGGCTGCAGGTGAGCGAACTCAGGGCCCTCAGGGTTCATGGGGCGGGGTGCCTTCCAGTCCGCCTGCGGTTGTGGGCGAGGCGAGGCAGGCCCGACCTGCGGTGACTTTCTGTGTACCTGTCTCGGCCGCGGGCCCAACGTCCCTGCCCAATCTTCCAGCGCCCGAGGTCAAGGCGTCCCCTCTCTGTCATCTCTCCCAGCACAGTCCCCGCCCCGCGCGAAGTGTGGGTCTAAGCAGTGACGGCCGAGTGAAGAATGGAGACACCTTTTTCTCCTTTTCGAGGACCGTTTCTCCTTCCCTGTAGGGTTTCTTTCTGTTCCTCAAGGTGAGGACAAGGTGACTGGGGGGTAGGGTCGTTGTTGAGCCCGCTAGGCTCAGAGCCTGACGGCCTCAGTTCACCTCTAAGAAGCAGAGACTTGCTAGCCAGGTGCATCTACAGTTGCCAGGCCTGGAGTCTGTAGAAGAAACTAGTGTCCTGTTCCATGTGTTGAGGATCCTGCGGAACACGTATGCAAGAATGAAAGGGGGTCTACAGGCCCCAGATGTAGTAAATAGTGATAACAGTAATCTTCCACCTTTGTGCAAGGTTCAGAGACAGTTTTAGTTCCTTATCATATTTTGAGTCATGTAAACATCTGGTGAGATGGTTATTCTCATTTGATAAGTAATGACACTTCCAGAAAGTGGGTAAAAGTTCCTGCTGTCACTGAAGTGGCCTGAGCACCTTGTTCTATAGCCCCTCTGTTCTACTTGGTCATGTCAACCTGTCCTCACAAAACTTTCTGAACCAGAGTGTGCTTTTTGAGTCAACATTTGTATTTTGGAGCGTACCAGAATATTTTGAGTTCACAATTAGTTACTTTTCAATTCCAAGATGGAAGGGTAGAGACTCAATAGTGTGACCTTGACCCTAAGAAAGCATCTAAGAAAACTGACTGATTGCCAGATGGGTTTTCACTCCTAACATGACAGCCCCAGAAAGGTGCTGTACTCAAAGGTTCAGCGTCAAGTATGTATTTTGTTAATAAAAATATAGCAATTATTTCTGTGTTCTCTGACAGTCTTTTAACTTTGTGACTCTACTTTGAATCAAGTGGCACAACTTTGATTTGAAAAGAAATTGTTACATGCTGTACTCTCAGGAAGCATTGTTACTAGAAGTTTTTTTTTTCACTTTGCTTAAATTAAACCATGTTTAATTTAAGTGAAATTAAACGGTTAAAGTGAAATCACCTATCGTAAAATACTTCTGATCTCTCAATTCTGGGAAGAGACAAAGGATTTTCCCTAATTCCCTTTTTGGATCTTTTGAATCTCCAGGTTTACGATGTGGAAATACTGTCATTGTTTCTTTTTGATCTGCTCTCCCATGCTGTGGTGAAGGCATGAAGGATTATTTAAGATAAATGATTGCAGATTTACTGAGCTTGGAAGAGAGGACTCATATCACAGTATTTCTGAACTGCAAAAGGATCTTAGAAAGTATGGGTGTTACACCAATCTAGAAGGAGACCTGGGCTGTAGTTGATATTCTGCCCTGACTCTTTGACCTTGAACTGGTTACTTTTATATCTTAGTTTCTTCATCTGTCAGTTGGGGCTCATCTTCATTGACAAATGTTTATTGAATGCTTGGTGGCTGGCTTCCATTCAGAATTTTATGATGATTGTTATAAAGTTACGAGGAAGTAAAATATACTTCTTTATGACCATCATGTAGTACACCTTTCTCTTTATTTATTTTTAGAGAGGAGAAGGGAGGGAGAAAGAGGGGAAGAGAAACATCAATGTGTGGTTGCCTCTCTCATACCCCCGACCAGGGACTTGGCCTGCAATCCAGGCATGTGCCTTCACTGGGAATCAAACCAGTGACTCTTTGATTTTTCAGGCCATCACTCAGTCCATTGAGCCACACCAGTCAGGAACCAGCTTCCTCTTTTACAGAGAGATAATCCTAGACTTTGAGAGCCTGGGTGGGTTTCAGGAAGAGTCAGGATTAAAATTCAGATTTTTTTGTTGTTGTTGAGATGAATGAACAGTGTTAAACTTCACTGTCTCCCAATAGCCAGGCTGTGTTACGTAATGGCCAAATGGTCATGTCTGTAGAACTCCGTCTATGCATTAAATTTTTTCCTACCTCATTCACCCTGTTTTTGCTGAGCACCCATGACTTCGGATATGATAAGCAAAGCAGACAGTTCCTGTTCTCATGGAGTTTGCACTCAATTCTAACGTATTCTACTCCAGAGAGCCTTGGAGATCTTTCTCAGCCACAATATTTTTCTTCCACTCTTGGCTGGACCAAGGTGAAGGTAGATGATAGAATGATGACAATTACTACTACCACTAAGAGCAGTTAACATTTACCTGTGTACCAGTGGTCTCACATGACCTTGCGAGATAGGCAAACCTATTAACCCTGAAGAAATAGATGAAGAAATAGGAATAGAGCAAAAACATAAGGTAATGGTTAAGAGCATGGATTCTTGCTTCCCATTACCTTATTTGCTGACTGGTGCTCACTAGCTGTGACTTTAGGCAAGTTGCCACACCCCTCTGCCTGATCCTTCACCAGGAAGATATAGATAACAATGGTACTTCAGACTTCTCTAGTAATCATTTTTTAGTCGCAATGTATTTAGAACTTGCCTGCGTGTAGTAAGCGCTATATACTTACTAAGTGAAATGAAATAAACTTGCCTAGGGCCTTATTGCTACATGTCATTAGAATCAGCACCTTTCTTTTCTTTTTTCTTTTTGAAAGTTTTTTTGTTTATTTATTTTTAGAAAGAGGAAAGGGAAAGACAAAGAGAGGGAGAGAAATACCAATGTATGGTTGCCTCTTGTGCGTCCCCTGCTGGGACCTGGCCGGCAACCCAGGTATGTGCCCTGATTGGGAATCAAACCAGCGACCCTTTAGTTCACAGGACAGTGCTCAATCCACTGAGTCACCAGCCAGGGCTGAATTGGCAGCTTTCTGTTCCAAAGCCTGAGGTCCGAGCCCCTGTGCTTTACTGCTTTCCTTTGGCATCATGATTCAGCCTGTTGCCCAAGGTACCATTAGTGCCCCATAACCTGAGAACAGTTCTCTTTAAAAAATTTTTTTTAAGTCCTGGCTGGTGTAGCTCAGTGGATTGAGCACTGGCTGCGAACCAAATGATCACGGTTCGATTCCTAGTCTCAGGGCACATGTCTGGGTTGCAGGCCAGTTCCCAGCAGGGGACGCATGAGAGGCAACCATACAATGGCATTTCTCTCCTTCTTTCCTTCCCTCCCCCTCTAAAGATAAATAAATAAAATCTTTAAAAATCTTTTTAAGATGTAATTTACTGTTTATGCTATTACAGTTGCCCCATCTCCCCCTCCACCCTGCCCTGCCCCAACTCCCTCAGGCAGTCCGCCACAGGTGCCCATGTTCATGGGACATGCATACATGTTCTTTGGCTGATCCCTTCACCTTCTTTCATCCAGTCTCCCCTTGCCCTGCCCTCGTACAGCTGTCAGTCTAGAACAGTGCTCCTGAAGTTGAAAGTGTTTGACCATTTGGCAGTACCTGCTACTGGGTAGTAAGATTAGAAAGAGCGAAGAAAATGGAGGCGAAATGTTTGAAAAGCCACACTCACATTCGGGTTTCTATTATCTATTTTTGTGAAAAGGGCTACGGGTGGTGCATAAAAGGAGTTAGGTATTTGCAAATACATTTCTTAGGTCTTCGGTTTTGCCATGAGGTACTGGGGTGCTGAGTTTTCATCGTGTGACTTTCAGGCGCCTGTGTATAATGTAACCTCAGGTGTAAATCTGAGATGGCAGTTAATGACAGAGAAGCCTGACTTTGGGCAGAAGTTAAGGTAAAAGTGCCTCAAAAAATCTTGTTTGAAATTATGGAACAGTTCATTCTGGTTGCATGTTCACTGTGGTACTTTCTCAGGTGACCTGTAGTCAACTTGATTTGAATTGAGTGAACGAATGAATGACTCAGTGGATGAGCAAAATAAACTTCCGATCTCAAATTTGGGAGAGGGAGTCGAAGTACTGTCTCAAAGACCAGGGGAGCGCACTCTGCCTTTCGGACCAGCTGTTCCCAAATGTGTTACGAAAGCTTTCTCTGCACCTAATGCTGTTCTAGACACTGCGAGTTCAATAGGGAACAAGCATAACGGAGCTTATATTGCAGTCCTGTAGAGACAGAAGATAAACAAGTAGATAAATAGGAAAGTTGTAGCTGTTAAGTGCTAAAAGGAAGATAAAATAGGATAGTGTGGTAGATAGTGTGGTGGGGATATGGCCTGGCTTTAACCGGGGTGCTTGGGGTCGGCCTCAGGAGAGGTGAGATTTGAACTTATACTTCGGTGATAAGAAGGTAGGCCTTCAGCGCTGGCTGGTGTGGCTCTGTGGATTGCGCTCTGGCCTGCGAACTGAAAGGTCGCCCTTTCGATTCATAGTCGGGGCATGTGTCTGGCTTGCAGGCCAGGTCCCCAGTTGGGGGTGCGCAAGAGGCAATGGATGA